TAAGTTGGCTTATTCGCTTCATTAATCTTTTCCTTTGAATTCTTGTTGAGGGCACTGGTCATCTTTAAAAGCAGACTCTTAAATTTTATGTTCAGCATTTTGACCATTTTAATACTTTTGGATTCAGTTATTGAGAATTACGAAGCTTTGGAGCCCTGGTGCTGCCTGGCTTTCTCACATTTCTTGTGTTCCTGTGTTGTAACTTCTATGTCTTTTGTATCTTGTCTGGGTTGGTATATGGATCTTTCTAGAGAACAGCTTTCTCTTGAGGCCCCAACACCCAGTGCTGCTTAGTGAGGAGCAAATAAACTCTTGCAACAGCAACACCAACTAAGCAAAGTAGGTTGTATATATTTTTGTCTAACTATAACAAAAAATTCTTTTTTGGATGTATTTATTTTATTTATATATATATGAACATGTTGTTCACATATATGTATGCTCAACTCATACATGCCCCGTGCATGAAGAGGTCAGAGAGTATCAAATCTCCTGGAACTGGAGTTATAGATGAGCCCCTGTGTGGGTGCTGGGAGCCTCTGCAAGAGCAATAAGTGCTGCTAACCATCTCTCCAGCCCCCATAAAAATAAATTTAAGAAAGCTGATAAACCACCAGTAATCATAAAATAGAAAGTGGCAAAAATAACCTAAAATAAAGTAAGAAGTTAAAATTAATAGGATAATAACAATAAATGTGAAATAAAATGTCATAGAACTAAAGAAGGTGAACCAAGTTCAAACAGAAATAGAAAACTAGAAAGGAACACAAGAAATAGGAGGAGAAAGGAACAAGAAATTGCAAAATGTCGGATTACTAAAAGAAAAAGTACATAGACGAAATTTGATGAGAGAATGAAGAGGACTAAAAATTAAAACACTGGGGAACTGACACTCAGGGCTGGCAAATATCCAAATTAAAGTGCGTCAGAGAGATGAGAAAGCAGAGACCCGAATTCTTCCCTGAAGGAAGAGCGCTGAGGAAACCCAGCTCTCCACCTGCTGGTGTCTGTGCTCTCAAATCTTGCTCCACAGTAAACTTTCTGTAAGAGAGGAGCAGTCTGATAATCTGGGTTTAGAGTTCTTGGTCCCACCCAGAAGCAAATCTCCCGTAGCAAGGAGGCAGATTCCAAGAAGACAGGCCTACCACCAGGAACTCAGAACCCTTAGACTCCTAGTAGTCTATGGTGGTAGGGCTAGCTCCTTAACGGGTCAGGCCACTGTCAATGCACCCTTCAGAGTCCAATTTCCCCATTACTTCAACTTCCCATAGCAGTTGTAAACCTTCCAGACATTGTCACAGGGTGGACCCAAGCTACCCGACTGGAGGTTGTTACTTTTTTTCAGGCCCCAAAGTAGTTCCATCTCAAACAGCAGGTCCCTCTCTCTCAGGATAGTAACTGATAACAACCCTCTGAGATACTTGGAGTGATGGAGCGGATTTCTTTAAAGTGCTGCCCTGTTACGAGGGAAAATCCAATGTCAGTGGGATTTATCCCACTGGTTTAAGGATGGCAAAGACCATGGCTTTCCTGTGGCCAGGACAGTGAGTCTTGTCTTTAGGGTTGCCTATAATGGCCAGGCTTTCCTGTGCCCATGGTTTTACCTACTCTTTCCCCTAGGAATCTGTGATCAGTTCTCTGCACATTATCATCTTTCTGTTTGTTCTTTCATTACAGCTTTCTTGTCACATTTTTCTTCCCAGTTCTCATTCTCAATCTCTCTCTCCTTCCTGCCTCTACTCCTTCCAATCCTCCCTCCCTCTGCCTTTCTTTCCTAGAATACAAACTTTCTTTTATTATCCCAACTCTTCCTATTCACAGAATTTCGTGATGGAAACTGATAATTCACCACCTTCCTCCAGAAACCTTGATATATTTATCAATGTACTGTGGAATTTTGAAATCTTTCTATTTGTGTAGGTTGAAGTCTATTGAATTTATGGGCTTATTAAAATTCAACTTACACATCTGATGCCAAAAATAAAGTGAAAATTTGGTGTCTGATTACCATGTTAACTAAATACAGTAGCATGATAAATGAAAGACCCAGAGACAGATATTGGGGTTCAAGCATCAAGTTGAAGATTAGAGGAGCATAGCAGCCAAGCCACTAACTCTTAACTCTACCTCAGGCTGAAAGGGCTGATCCTGTCTCCACCAGCTCTCAACAAGTCTTAGACTGATGCCTCTTAAAGCACGGCTGGAGAATAATCCTGAGACTGACTACTGAAGACCCTGCTGCTATCTTTATACATCTTTAGTGTTGGGATTCCAGGCTATCCATCTTTTGAAAAAAGATTAGAGTGAGTTCTGTATAGGTTAAATAGGAATAAACTGGAACTATACCACGTGCTTCATTCAAAAGCTGTGCCCTGTTGTAGATTCATGGATCGAGCTTATAGTTCCACATCCAGAACAGGGCTGATCCTTATGAAAGATACAACTACAACAGTGGCAATGAAACTAATATGAATTGCATGTCTGTGGCAAGGTGGCTGTTCCAAGTGCTTTACATGTTTTCTCTAATATGATTTTTAGAGTTATCATACACTCTACAGGCATTGATTGATGTGGAAGTGTACCTGAAAAGTACAAGAAAGTTGTCAAGAATTAAAGCTAGGAAGCAGCAGGGCTGAGACTTAAATCTGGTTCGAGGGTTAGAAGGTAGCAGTTAATACAAAACCCCACTGTTGGCCTCCCCATTTTCACGTGCTGAAAGAGCAGTAGGCACCTACGGCCATGACACAGTCTTCACTTGAAACAAAAACACGTGAGCAGAGTAGCAAAAGCATTCATAAAATATTCAAGATGATGATGATGATGCTATTAGAAGCAAAGCCACTCAGTGTACCAAGAGCCACCTGAAGGATGAGCCCCTGGACTCTGATTTCAGGAAGTGAGCCTAGAGGTGAGCCAGCTTTCTGAGATCATGGAGAATAGCACTGGGATGCTCATTTTTCCCTGGATTTTTTGAGTCGTGACTCAAAGAACAAGCCACATTTATTTTCATTAAGGAAAACCTATTAATTATTTCAAGTTAATTAAGTGGATCTGCTCCAAGTTGAGTTTAGTATATAAATCCACATTCAAAGTGCTACCATCTGACCTGAATGTGAAAAAATAAGGGGATCTGGGAACAGAGTGAAGAGTTCTGTGGGAAGAAAGTCAGAAAAGAGCCTTTCATCTTAGCTACTCTGGTTCTGCAGAAAGAGAAAGATGGAGAGAAAGTACACCATAGTAAGGCTTTTAGCCTCAAGCTCAATTTTTTTCTGTGTGTCATTGACAAAACTGTCTTTTCCATTGTTGGGTAAGCATCCTTCTAGCTTGTTTACAATCGCCATGTAACTGACCTTCAAAATCTCAGCATCACCTTCCTATTTTCCCTCTTTCAGCTTTAGCTCATCTTCGTCTGTTTACCAGTTGCTGCTACTTCTAGAGTATGAACTTGAAAGACAGACAATAAAAATAAAAGAGATCTTTTCTGTAATAGACAGAGGGTGTGGTGTGTTAGTTACTTTTCCATTGCTGTGGTAAGAAACCATGACCAAGGGAGCCTGTGAAAGAAGGCATCTGTTTGGGACTTACAGTTGTAGAGTGAGACCATGTTCACCATGGTGGAAAGCATGGCATCAGGCAGGCAAGCATGGCAGTACTGAGGCAGTACCTGGGAGCTCTCACATCTTGAGACAACAACCATGATGTGCAGATAGCCAACTGGGAATGGCATGGGCTTTTGAAACCTCACAGCCTGACTGAAGTGATATACTTCCTCCAAGAAGGCCACACCTCCTAATCCTTCCCAAATTGGGGACCACGTATTCAAAAATATGAGCTTATGGTGGCCATTCTCATTCAAACCACCACAGTGATCAAGACTGGGTTGATAGCAATTGTCTTAATAGAGGTCTGGTATGTCCTAATTGCATTGTATTGTTTTGGTCTATCTGGACCTCTGTTTCTCCAGGGACTAGTAAGTCCTTGAAGGGGAGAGCCAGGCTTTTTTTCCATTCTATTTCCCTGGTACATAATTGCATGTTTCAGTCACAGCAGACATTGTAAGAAACCATGAAGGGTTGAGTGAGTAAATCTATAAAGAATAAAGGAGTGAAAGTGTGTAACTCAGTAAAACAAGAAAATTGGCAATTCTTGTCTTTTAACCTTATTCTCTCCAATGAAGCTCCTCAAGAAGGTCCAAAGTCATAATTTTTCACATGCATTCTGGACATTATAAACCTATACAACCCACTCTTACACCACACATACACACACATACACACACACACACACACACACACACACACACACACACACTCCAAAGCAACAAAACTACAAGACATAAAACCCTCTGAAGTGTCAAGCAAATTGTTTAGAAAGAAGAACACAGCACATTTGGACCGGTTTGGTTTGGTTTCTGATGAGTAGGGCAGGAATGCAGTGTTTTACTGCATCTCCCGTTCGAGGATAATCTAATCTTGCAGTGGTAGTTACTGAAATCAGTAACAGTTCTTACAAGGGAGACAAATCATATCTGCTCTGGGTTACAGCAAAACAGAATGCCCTGCCACTGCTGTCAGTAAGAGCACCCTTGTTTGTAGCTTCATTATGCCCTTAAATGAAATATCTATATTTCTTCTGGGTTTAATGAGGCCATAGACAACTGACTCTCTACAGAGTAATGTTGGAGATTTTTTTTTTGCTTTGAATGTGATATATTCTAATTTGTGCTCAACTACCCTTCCCAAGCAATTCAGGTTCTCAAATGGGCATTTTAGGGACAATTAGCTAAATGTTCCTCTCATTAGCCACAGGGCCTAGAAAAAGACAAAGGGAATCAATAAGACAAAGCCAGTCTAGGAGAGCATTCACTGTCCATCAGAAGGACCAGCTACCTCATTGAGTTATGTGTTCCTGCAGGAGGCAGCTTCTCCCAGCCCATACATCATTAACCTGTCAGTGGCGGCTACGATTATCTGCTCAATCACCTTTCTGTTCTGTTTTAGTTTTCAGGGCTTTACCTCCTGTCTTTCTTCACCATCCTCATTGGGCTGGTGCTCTACTCCTCCACCTCCACGTACATAGCCCAGGATCCCCGAGTGTACAAGCAATTCCGTAATCCTTCAGGACCTGTTGCGGACTTACCCAGCACGGCTCAGGTGGAGCCTTCAGTCACCTATACCAGCCTGGGCCAGGAGACAGAAGAAGAGCCCCATGTACGTGTGGCCTAGGGTGAGGCCTGCCCTGCCCACTAAGGACAACTCAAAGGCCATGCGTTACTCATCATCTCTGTATTGTACATAGAGAAAGGTATTTAGTAGGTGCAGTTTGACAGGTGGACCGCAAGGTAGCTATTCCTCCTTTTGTCAAAGGAAACAAGCTGAAGGCCACTGGAGACACAGGCTTCAATCCACCTGATTCAGAGAGAGGCTTGGATATTATGTGTCCTGACCCAACCCCCCACCACCCTGCATTAATTACTGTGAAAATTTTTGAATCAAAAGCAAGTATTATTGTTACTATGATTTTTATTATTGTTGTTACTGTTATTACACCGACTTTCAGGAGGAGGTTTTGTATTCCTGGTGGGAATTATTGCCAGACCCTCACGAAGTCAGCATACACCCCTTTTCTATGGCAAGTCACTTTTTAAGAAGCATACTTTTTGTTTTGTTTTGCACAGACTATATGAGTGATGCATGCCACAGAAGCTCTACCCTTCAGATGTTCCCTCATCCTGGTGACCTTGTGGCTAATGGTTTCCTCTGTCACCTGTTGGATTGCCTGCTCAATAAGGATTTTGTGCTGTGACCCCTGTGGGGAGGGGAAACTGACCATATAATTCTCTATTCTAGGAATAGATATAAAACAAACATTTTAGCCTTTTTATATTTCATTTTCTGCTTACTCCAGGCCATTGGGTTTCTTTTGGGCCAGGAGATTCACTTAATCAGGCCGTGTGACTACAGGATAAGAATTCTCCTATTTTTGTAGCTTGCAGGAAATCCTCTAAGTAAAATCACTTATGTTTAGGATTGTAAGATTTTTTTTCTGTCCTTCCCTATATCTCTCTCCTCAAAAATTAGCTTCTGTTTTAATTTTTTCTCAATGATGTCATGGAAATTAATCAAATACTGAAAAAGCCATGATCTTTGCCCTCTTAGTTATATAGTACCTCTTTGGGAGTACGTCAATGACGACACTATCTTTATTGTGGGACATTACTTTTTATGCCATCTCTTGGAGCAAGGTACTGATGTGGAACAATCTCTGTTTGTGGCTCATGTTCTGCCCCCCTAGTAGTGGTAAAGATATCACTACTGAAAAGTCTGGCATTTTGGTTACAATGGATACCCATCTAATAGCCGAATACAAAGATAAGCATTCATACGCACAGAGGATACTACAGTATCCCAGTAAAGCTTGATACATCGCTAGTTTAATCAGTTCTGTTGTCTCCACAATGTCTTCCCCCACCACCAACAGAGGAAATTGAGAACATCCACAGACTTTTATAATAATTTAGAATATATTCCTTATGTCTGTGTGGAAGTACTCTGTAACTTGACTGACTCCAACACCATTCAAAAGGATCCATTATGGAACTATGGATTTTGTGTAAATGTTCATGAATTTTGAGACAATTCAAGTCAATATATTTTAATCAAGCAAGCAAAACAAAACACTAGTGGGGGGGAATCTCATAAAGTAAGAACAGATTGCAGTAGGGCCTGGACAAGGCCTAAACGCGCCAGGCAGGGCCCCTGCCTGTTCACCAGTCAGCCTCTGGCCTCTTTGCCATCCTTCTCCTGTGAAGTCATCGTGATCCACTTTGACAAGTCTCATAAGAACAGCACACATCCAAAATGAGTAATGTGCTTGGAAACTGTAACTCAGTTAAAGTATTTTTTCATTGGAAAATATAACGTTTCTTCTAGAGTATTATTTAGTTCTGAACTAGGAGAAAGGAAGAAAAGTGGGTTTCTGATATGCATATTTCATGTCAAATTTCCCCTATGGAACTAGGTTTCCTTTGCTTGGGTGGGGTGGACATGGGGGAGAAAGGTTTGGGCTAAAGCTACAAGTCACATCCTACAACCTTGCCAACATCTGCTCTCTGCTCTCTGCTACCTTTTAAGCCAATTAAATACCTTTCTCTGAAGATTTTGTCTATTCAGATCCGAAGACCTTTACAGACTGTGCTTTTATTTTTGTGTTTACATTCCTTTGATTTGCATAATTTACTTGATTTGTTGCATTTTTAGTATTTATTTTAAGCCAAATGTCTTTGTCTTTTTTACTCATTCTTATGACACTGATTTGTAGACACTCGGTAAACTCTTATGAGAAACAAGTGGCTGAAACTGTTTCCGAGTTTGTTCAGTGGGCTAGGAACATGTTTAAGTTTAAAGTATGAAAAGGTTTGCAGTTACCTGATGGCTGAAGGTTGCCATCTGGACCATTTTTATAGGATGTTTTAATTGACTCCATTGTATGAAAATCAAGTGTAACTATCAAGATGAATTCAGTGTATACTTTTTGTCATTGGATGTCTTTGTTATCAGACATTCATGCCATTGGATTACTTCACCTGTGTTGGTTTATCACCATTTATAAAGCTGGCCATCCAAGATCAGAAGTTTGGAACTGACCCTTAAGGAAAAAAAGACAAACGTTTCAAAGAGCCATGTTTTCAGTAGGAAAACACTGGTGGTTTGAGAGTGGGGAGGAGTGGGAATAGGGTAACATTAGCCGTAGCTGTTTTAGTTTCTGAGATTCCATAACCTCCTCGGTAGACACCAGGAAGAATTTCAGCATTTTACTCCACCACTGTCCTCTCCTCAGTGAATGAGAACAGTCCTTTGTATGACTGCTGACAAGGAGCAAACCACAGCTCTCTTCAGCCTTGCCAGAGATGAGTAGTGGTTTTCACTTCCTCACTGGAAACTTGCACTGGGGACAGAACTTGCCTTGGTCAGTCAGATCTCCCCACAGCTTCAAACACATATCCAGGTAGACCAAGCAATGGACAATTTTACTCCACTGTGTCCCATCGAAGCATTTCTATGTTTAGTTTAGGCATTGCTAACTTGTGCTATTAACCTTTTGACAAGCTTGTAGTATTGTTTGCTTGGGGTTTATTTTTGATTTGTAACCATTTAGTAGTCCCCAGCTAGCTATCAGTACAGATTTTACCCCATGGGTAGGAGTCTATCTTCATACCACGTAACGAAGCACACTAATCCTGACACCACAATGGAAACTATGAACCAAGATAGAAACAAAAAGAGAAAAAAGAACTTCACACTGGAAACCTGAACAAGCAATCCACCTCTCCTATGTGCATGCTCCCCCATGGACTGGCTGTGGCAATGTAACACCTGTACAATGTTTTCAAATAAAAATACATGCTTTAGGAAAGCAGCCCACTTCTGGCTCTCTCGCGTGTTTGTCTGCACTGTGACAATCGTGACAGCAGTTCCCTTGAGATGCTAGAAATAGCAACAACGGCAGAGAACCCAGCACATGTCAAAATAAAAACCAGAGAGAAAATAGCTCCAAATTAGGTATGGCATAGTCTCTGAACTGGAGTTTCAAGAAATAGAATTAAACACATTTGTAATTTGCTTCAGGGCACTAAAAAAGGCTGTTGGGATACAACTTACATGTCTAGATGGAAAACTCATTCAGTATAACGAAAAACTACCCCCTGAGAAATGGTTTCTGATGAAGAAATTTCCGGATACCCTGCCCTGGGCACAGCAGCAGGCCTAGCCGTGAGCATTCTTCCAGACTAGGACATTTATGAAGCAGAGAGTACCCAGGTTCCTCCTTAGAGAGCACCAACCCTCACCTCTCCCCAGCTAACTGCTTTCAGCCTTGCATCCAACCAGTCTATGCATTTACTTTGTTTGTACATCCTTGCCACTTAAGTTCATAATCAGACCTTCAAAAATAAATAAACCAGCATGATTGTATGTCTGAGTCAAAATATTTTTAAATCTATTTTTCAGCAAAGAGGCACAACCCCACACCAAGTACTTTTTAAAACACTTTACAAAGTGCAAACTGACATCAGAAATTTAACACGTATAAATAATTTGCTTCAAAAATACTTTTCCTTATAAACCTTTCTCTGAAAACTATTTTATTTTATTTAGGAAGCTCCTTGGTCAAAAATGAAATGAAGTTGAACTTCAGTCCAGTCCTGTGTCCAGACATCCAGCAGTTTCAAAAGACTTGGTCCAAATTACCAATGTGTGTGTTATGTTCCACCTATTTGCCCAATGAGTTGTCATTTTCTTAAGAGAAAGAACCAATTTCCTAAATACAGACCTCCGGCAATAGCAAGATGAGGAAGCATTAGAATTTCATAACTATTTATAAGAAGGAAAACAACACAAACAAACAAAATAACACTAAAATTCACAGGCCGGCTGTCATTGAGTAGATTGTCTTTTTTCCCCACAAGAAAATAAACTGTAATGTGTGATATAATAGCCCAACACAGATCCAGCTAATCTGTTCAGTGCCCAGAAAAACACTTAGCACATGGAAGTCATTCATACATCTTATTTTACTAGAATCCACCTGCAAACCCGTAAATACAAAGCACAAATGTGAATAATTCTATTACAAAATGTTGCCTTCCTTCTCTGAGCTCTTTTTCATTCTGATAAAATCCTTGTTCTTGTGACTGAAAAGAATCAGCACATCCACTCAAGTTCCCGCTTCCAGGGAACTTAAAAAATCACTGACAATGTTTAAAGACCTCCAGGTTCGAGGTGAGGTAGAAAACAACAAAAATCTTCATTTTCAAATAAAATTTTATATTTATATCATGCCTTCTTAATCATGCAATCCAGTCACACTTTTTTATTCTTCATTTTTTGATATTCTTCTCTCTTTCTCATTTCTACAATCAGAGGGCTCATTAGGGTCCATATATGAAGGGATTAAAAAAATCTACTGCAGCTGAAAAGCCCTGCCACTTCCAGGTGGCCTGTACTGAGACTCAAGAAGATAAGACATTGAGTGTCACTCTTCAGACAGTTAGTCAAGTCTCCTGCAAACATGACCGCATAATGGTGAACAAGGCCAACAATCTATCAGAGGGAGCCAGTCTGATGGAATAGGCTACAATATCAGCACCACCCATCTGGTGTGGGCAAGAAAAAAGTCCATAAAAGCATAAAAAATGAGCTCGTTCATTGGGTATTAGCCATAGAGCTAGGGGAATCCCACAGACTAAAGGATCATTTCACAACAAGAAAGATAAATGCTACTTTGCATCCTGAAAAGCAATCTTACTGAACTCATTGTCTCAAATTGGTGTCGCTGGTTAAAATGTATCACCTATAGATGTATGTACAAATTGCATTAAGTAGGCTGAGCACAAGATTCATGATAATCCATTAATACTTTCAATGCAAAGTCAGACATTGATAGCTATACACAGACAATAGGTGCAGATCTGGTGCAACCTGGGAATAGAGTCATACTGACTTTAAGACAAACTGATTCATCCCTACTCATGCAAGCTGGCAGCATATGGCCATGTCTTCCAGCCTAGATGAAGGTGAGTCAGAATATGAAGACAAAGCTTGCTCTCCTGCTCACCGTTGTAAGCTATTAGTGACTTCTCTTTAGTGTTCCCAATCTTGTGTAGGTCTCCTGTGAATGCTCAGTCAGAGCTGCTGGAAGTTCAAGAGAGCAATAGCCATGTCATGCCTGTGAACGGGTATCCAAAACAACTGTAACACATTTTACTGCTGTTAGAGATAGCCCCTACTTTGATTCTGAAACAAACCCTACTTTCTAAAAGAGGATCCTGGAAAGCACCTCTGCCCTTGGCTTCGATCTAACTATTCAGGTATCTGTAGTCATATCCCAATGGCAACATCACCAGCATCACTACTGTTTCATTGCTCAAATATGAACCTAAAGGAGAACATTTTGCTGGAGTTATTCAGAAGCAAATTACAGCAGAGACTGACACACCCATGCACTTCAAGAAGTGTGGAACAATGAGTGAGTATTGCACAAATGAATGAGTGTTCCACATGGGAAAGAGGTCAGTCCCTAGAGGCCAAAAAAAAAAAAAAAAGACAAAGGACCCACGCCACTCTTCACTTAATGTTTTCCAAACAATGCACATAAGTACTACTTCTAGGACTTCAGGCTTCATTGAAACATGGGGTGATAATACCTATTTTGTTGTGAAAGGGGTGGGGAGTGTCTTCTCTCCTCCCTGGGTCATGTCTCTGTAAGCAGGAGTTACTCCCACGGTACCTGAAGAGGTTCAATAAATTTTGAGTAACAGCAATAATTGCAGTTTTACAGATGGTTGGCCACTTGCCAGTTTCCCGGCAACTAGAAAAGCAATAAAAACATCTACTTGTTCTTAAAGTGACTACTGTTCTAAATGAAATTACTAGAGAGAGAGGAAATGGCCTAATCACTCCAGTAATCAAACCAGTCTCATTATGGGGCTCCCTGTGAGCTTTTGTTTGAATTTTCTAATGTAGTTTTTGGCATTAAATGGGATTTTAAAAGCTAAATAGGTCACACGTGCATACAAATGGTTGAGTGAAGCACATAACAGCTTTATGTTTCCAAGATTTTGCCTATGAGGCTCCTTTTTAATTAAAAGGGAAAGTTGTCAGGGACAACTTAATGTGGGAAATTCAGCAGTCGTAGGGAAGAATGATGACACTTGGATTAATAATCTAACTTCTGCTGCATCATCAATACTGGGCCCACACTGGGACCCCTCCTGGACATCCTGTTGTTGCCCAGTATCACAGAGACCCTGCAGTTTTGTGTCTGCAGGTCTGGACCCTTCCACACTCCATCCATTCATAGATGAGGTGGATGTTAGGGTAGGGAGAACCTGCAGAAAGGAAACTCGCTCAGCTGTGTTGACCATGTGCACAATGTGAGAGGAGTCTCAAAACTGTCCTAGGCCAAGGGATCCCCGAGATCAAGCACACATCTAAGCTTCAGCAGTTGGTCATAGGCTTTGTCAGGGGACGCCTCACCCGCGACAGGTCCTTGCTGTCACTGACTGCATTCTCCAGTGACCTATGTTCTGTCACTGTCTATCAACAACCTCCTGCTCATTTGTCAATCAATGAAGGTCAATGACCTTGAGGCATAGGAGTCTTGGTCTCCTCAGAGGTATTGGAGCAAACTGAACCTCTCAGTCAAGGGGCCCCTGAAGCATGAAAAGTGAAGAAATCAAAAGCCCTGAGCGTGAGGTCAGTACCATTGCGTTACTGAAAGTTGCAAACGTGGGTAAATGTGGAGCCATAGTAACCAGTGCAGATCTCCAGGTGGGGGTGAATGTCAGCCCCAGCAAGGGATCTCGGGGCTTCTCTCTCTTTAATGTTATTTGACCTTTGTTAATCTGGAGCATACTAGCTCAAAGTTTAGTTATTACACATTAAAACATCTTAGTTGATCCGTTATTGCTGTGTTTTTGTGATGTGCACTGTGGGGGTGGGGGGCATGTTTGCCGCAGGCTGTGTGGACTTCAGAGGACACCATTGCCCACTCCCGTCTCTCCTTCCACCTTTATGTGAGTTCTGGGGATTGAACTCAGGTTTTTCAGGCTTGAAAAACTTTACTGGCTGAGCCATGTCACCAGTATCAGCTACTAGAACCTTTAAAATCATTGTAGATTGCATAGTTAATAGCTATAGTTAGCATCATTTATTCTATGTGCACAGCACTGATCTATTAGAAAAGTTGTACCTTTTAATCCTCAAAGCACAAGAAGAGTCATACAGTGAGAGCTAGTTTACTGATGAGTTAGTGAAAGCATCAATGAGTTACATAAAATGACCAAAGTCACACATGCAGCAAGTGAGGAGGCCAGGACCCAAATCCAGTGTGTCTGGCTTCAAAAACATTTAAGTATACAACAGCATAAAATGCCTCATGGAAGTTCAAACAAGCAGTTAAGCTAGCAAAACCTTTGAGGAACTGTGTATAAGAACCCTGTTTGTTGAAGCCCATTCCTTAAGGTGAGATGCTATGCTCAGAGGCAGTAGGACCATGATATAATCCCAGTACACGAGTTAGCTTGTTGGAGCCCATTCCCTATGGTGGGATGTCGTGCTCAATCTTAATGCATGGGAGAGGGGCCTGGTCCTACCCCAACATAATGTACCAGACTTTGTTGACTCCTCATGGGAGCCCTTACCGGTGAGGAGAAGTGGACTGGGGGTGGGCTACGGGGGAGGTGAGGGAAGGTGAGAGGAGGGTTGGGAGGGAGAACTGTGGTTGAAATAAATAATGAAATAAAAAACGTACAAAAAAAGAATCCTGTTCTATCAGGTTTTTTCCATTGTTTTGTCATTGCTTTTTGTTGTGCTTTTTATGTTCAAGTAGAAAATTAGCGCTATTAAACCAGTCAGCGTAAGAA